GGGGGGTCACAGGAGGCTCCACAGGAGGCTCCACAGGCACCCACCAGCACAATGGAGAGGTTCTCACGACTACCAGAGCTCACACTGAGTTCACTCAGCAGTGAAGAACCAGCAACTTCTTCATCATCGTCATCATCATCATCATCATCATCATCATCATCATCCTCACATGAACTCACCCACTTTGATAGAAGTTTCCGCCTTTCTTCAAACACCTGAGAAAGAAGAGAAAAATGTAAGTGACAATGACAGATTGTGGTTATTAGATGATGATTAGATAATACTTGATAAACAAATAACACTTATGACCGTGAGTGCAATTTCCAAAAAAAAGGGCTAAACTTGACATAGGGTCATGGTGATATATTCTCCAATAAATTATTGCTCTGTAAACTTACATTTTTTTTAATACCCATCTGATTCTTTTTTAGATTGTGTTAATTTGTATTGTCTTGGCTTTTTTATTGACACTACCTTGTCTACCATTCACAGAATAGATCTGACTAATATGTTTTTGTGTGATGTTTCAGAGTGGATGTGACCTTGCTGTTGGAGAGAGTGTGGTTCAGAGGAGTCCAGGAGCTCAGTTTGGTTTGCATCTTGGCACAGCTGGAAGATGAACTCTGTGCAAGCGGCATCATCGAGTAACAGCTCGGTGAAGGTGATGCACTAAAATACACAGAACAAAAGTTTATCAACATGTTTTTGTTGTGTGTTTTTTTGTGCATGCCATTTAACATCATCTGGACACTTTAAGGCTTGTGTTTAGCCTTCTTAAAAAATGAGAAGTTACATAACATACCAGCTTTTATCTCACTCAAAAGGAACAGTGAGTGTGAGTGAAGTCTTACAGTATATATGATAAATCAATGAATACATGTGGAGATTTATAAAAAAAAGACAAGAGGATAATCAGCCCTACAGCAATAGTTCAAGAAGTCTAACTGACACAAATCCAGCCTGCAGAAAGACGATTTTATGTTCCGGTAGACCACCTGTCCAACAAATACGACATTGGAGTTGCACAAGGAATCTGTCTTGTATCCCTCCGTTTTTCATTATGAGCTACTACTATGGTATAACTATTAAAGTCTTATATAATAAATCAATGAATAAATGTGTAAATATATCGTGTATAATGATGTTTGCCCAGAGTAGATCTTTATATCCTCTCTCCCCTTTTTTGTTATTATGTTATACACTGATACCAAATACACAAATACCTCCATCTTTAATTCCATATCTTCTAAAAACAAGAGTTAGGAAAATAAGTCTGGGTCCCCTCCTTTTATCGTTATATATGCTACTGCTAAGTATAATTAATAAAGTATTTTATAGTCAATCAATGAATACATGTGTACACATAAGGCCAAATACATCGTATTATGTCTTGTTTCCCCATCTTTGTTATTATGTAACTTGGCAAAACTAATACAAAAATAATATACAACTTTAATTCTATAAGAGTGAGGAAAAGCAGTCCACAGTTAGAAGAAGTTAAAAGGACACACACAAACACCATGCAGTGTTTTCATAGTATACATACACTCCTCTAGTATTTTACTCACCATCAGTTCTCCTCTGCTGATGGAAGGAGAAACATTCCCTCTCTCTGTCTGTTTTCTCCCGATAGCCTTTGTGTCTGTACACCAAACTCTTCTTCTTCTCTTTTATTTCCCACTTTCCTGTGCTCAGTTTACTCGTTCCCATAGTAACAGTGAGTGGCAGAGCCTGTCACACACAGAGGGGGGTGCTGCAAAGCAAACCACAGTGCAGAGTGGAGTGTGCAGGCGACAGTGACTTTAATGATGACAAATAGTAGAAGCTGCAGAAAGCCTGACACTGCAACTGCTGCAAAGACCATCTGCCCCTGATACTCTGATACTGCAACCTTTCGCTTCTGGAGATCATGTTTTCTGACACAGTTCTTATGTACAGTATATATATATATATGTGTATTTTTTCCCTGGAAATGTATATTTCTCCAATGCAAAGTTGATAACTTGTGTAAAACACTATGCTAAATTGAAAGGAACATTTTAAAGGAATGTAATCTACAGTAACTGACCTATTAATTGATCAAATATATTGTGTTTTACACAACACTAATGAATAGGTGTTGGAATTGTACTTATTACATTATCAGTAGCAGTAGTAACATTAGTGTAAAAAGTAGTAGTAGTGGTGTAATGTAACTTCAAAGATCCAGACTAAATACTTAAAGTGGACCTATCATGCTCTATTTGAAACATATATTGTAGGGCCATACATGTCTGTGAAGTTTTCTTTTTCAAAATACCAAACAGATCATGCATTTTAGCCATGCCTCATTTAGCTATTTGCTCTTTTCCAGCCCTGTCTTTGCAAGGGCTGATTCTGCTTTTGTGGCAGACTACAGCGCCCATGGGCGCGGGAAGGGGGGTGCTGAGGGCGCTGCAGCACCCCCTAGCGGCAGGCAGGGGGTGTGGAGCTCCCCTGTCTGAATTATTATTTGACGGTTATTGCTGCTCCCGCTGTGCATAATCTGTGTAATATGTAGCCAATAAATTCCACATTGTTGGTAAAATAATATTTTGGCCTGCCCCGAATGTTTTTTCTGTAGCCCCGGACAATTCTACCTCAATAATATAATACATTAACCGTGCTTTACGTGAACCTCATCAAGACACTAGAAAGGACGGCAGGACTGTAATTTCCCGTGTTTAGTGAATGCAACAGAGGCAAGACTCCAGACCAATCAGAGAGTTGCATGGAAATAAAAGTGTGCTTGTGTCATTCAAGCTCGCGGCTCTGTGTGTGTGCGGAAATAGCGCATTTAGTGTGTGTGAGAGAGGGGGAGAGAGAGAGGGACCGGTGCCAGCAGCAGGGACC